TCAGTGGCATGTGGATTTTCAGGGTGAAGCGGCCGCCGGGTTCTCCGCCTGTCTTCAAGGCACGTTACGTTGCACGAGGCTTCAGTCAGCGACAGGGAGTTGACTTCTTCCAGACCTTCTCCCCTACCCCGAAGATTACCACTCTTCGGGTACTGCTGCACATCGCCGCTCAGCGTGACTACGAGTTTCACTCTCTTGACTTCAGCACTGCTTTCCTGCAGGGCAGCCTGCACGAGGAGATCTAGCTGCGCCACCCACCTGGCTTCACTGGGTCGTTTCCTGCAGGTACCCAGTGGAGCCTCCGGCTTCTAGTCTACGGTCTCCGCCAGGCGCCTCGCAAGTGGCACGACACACTGAGGACGACTCTTGCGGCTCTTGGGTTTGCTCCTTCTACTGCTGACCCGTCGCTGTTTCTACGCACCGACACTTCGCTGCCGCCGTTCTACATCCTCGTGTACGTCGACGACTTGGTCTTTGCCACTGCTGACACTGCTGGACTGGCCCACGTGAAGTCGAAGCTGCAGAGGAGACACACGTGCACAGACCTGGGTGAGCTGCGCAGCTATCTTGGCTTGCAGATCACCCGGGACAGAGCACAGCGCACCATTACCTTGACTCAGTCACACATGTTGCAGCAGGTCCTTCAGCGCTTCGACTTCCTGTACTCCTCGCCACAGTCCACTCCTCTGCCTACCGGTCACTCGCTCTCAGCTCTGCCTTCGGATGAGTCCGTAGAGTCGAGTGGCCCGTATCCAGAGCTTGTGGGCTGCCTCATGTACCTGATGACCTGCACTCGACCTGACCTTGCTTACCCTCTTAGCATCCTGGCACGCTACGTTGCGCCCGGGAGACACCGACCAGCGCACTGGAAGGTCGCTAAGAGGGTGATGCGCTACTTGTGCAGTACGTCGGGCATGGGGCTCGTGCTTGGAGGACGGGCTTGAGTTGTCCTCATTGGTCACGCAGACGCTTCTTGGGTTGACGACTTGGCTACGCAGCGGTCGTCACAGGGTTACACCTTCAGCCTTGGCTCCGGTTCTGTTTCGTGGCGGTCTACCCGCCCGTCTTCTGTTCTCGGTTCCAGTTGTGAGGCTGAGATCTACGCAGGGGCCATGGCTGCATAGGAGTTACGCTGGCTTACCTACCTGCTGACCGACTTGGTAGAGCCGCCTCGTTCTCCTCCAGTTCTGTACGTCGACAACAACGCTATGATTGCCTTGTGTCAGGAGCACAGACTGGAGCACAGAACGAAGCACATCGCTCTGCGCTACTTCCTTGCTCGAGAGTTGCAGCAGCGTGGTCAGCTTCCTCTTGTTTACGTGGCCTCTCAGGCCATCACTGCTGATATCTTCACCAAGGCACTTCAGCCTTGTGATCATCAGCGTTTCTGTACTGTTCTAGGCCTTGTGCCTACTTGGCCTCACTTGCTCACTTCTTGACTTTGCTTGTACTGTGATCTATATACATATACCTGCATGCTTACACTTGCTAGGTTGTGATCACTGTACTGCTTGTTCTCCTTTATATATAACTCTGCATGTGAACTGGCCTTGTGGCCATTTGCTTGTGCACAGAACGCGTGGTGACTTCGTGATCCACTCTGAGCTTGACCTTGCTTCGTTCTCTTGCTTGTCCCCCATTTTGCCTATGGGGTTGTGTCAGAACTATGCATTCATATGCTCTAGGCTGTAGTGGGGCACTCCTCATGGGGTACAGACCATTTTAGGTTTTGCTATACAAACCCTGTACTGCTGTCATTCTAGTCATTCTTCATTCCTACTTTCTGATACTGTCCGCACCAGATCGGATCCCTGAAAGTGTTCGTAGACACAACGATATAGCATGATGATACTGCGTATCTCTTCCAGGTGTTGGAAATAGAAACATAAAGAAATATATATGCTGTTAGATTTCACTGTAGTCTTTTTTATAAGGCTCCAGGTTCTACAATAATTGTACAGTTATTGTAGGAGCTGCATGATTGGAGTCTAGAGGTCTGGGGGTAGAGGTATTGGTACTCCTTTATTGGAGTGGCAATTATTGGTGATACAATTATTGGTGTGGATGGATGGATATGGGCAAGGTAGCTGATAGCTTAAATGCCATGCTCTGTAGTTTCATAATCAATCCATTGTTCTAATTCCTTTCAGTTGCAAGGTTTCTCTTGCTATTCATTCTACAATCAAGCTTCTGCTACGTCGGCACTATGCCTTTCTAGCATGGTATCAGAGCTACTCTAGGGGGCATGCTGTCGAAATTTGGTTAGAACCCTGTTACAGTTCACATTGGACAGGCACATTAACAAACTGGCATAGCAGGAGGCAACGATTGGATCAAGACAATGGCGCGATTCGACGATGAAGTCGACGCTGGATACGAGGCGTTTGAAGAAGCAATCTTAGCTTAACATGAGCACCTGGAGAACATGATTGCAAGGGCTCCACCAACACTTCAAACGTCATTGAGAGCAAAGTTCAACATGCAAATTGGGGAAGAAAGTGGCAGATTTGATAAAGTGTGCGTGGAATGTGTGGGTTTTGAATCTTGCACTATTGGTGCTCCCCCACTTCAATGTCTTGCCACTAGCCCTCATCCCATTGGAGCCCCTGTAATGGGCAGATCTCACCTTCTTGAAGACAGCATCATACCTCCTCGCGCGCGTAGTTCACTAATGGGAGTGGATCCTGCATGGAGCATGGAGCGCAAGGATCATGTGATGCAGTCAAGTGGTGATTTGAGGTGTGATCGCGCGGATGTGATGAAGCATCACTCATACGATCAAAACGGAGGGAAGCAACGCATGGTTGGTCAAGCGCGCAGCGACATATCACATACAACGGAGAAAACCGGGACCATGAATGCTGCAACTTCAAACGGAGGACAGCAAGCGACATACGGAGAGAAAATGAAGGGCAATGATGAAAGAGGCGGACGCACAACACTCGTGTGCTGGTTTTGCAAGCAACCGGGCCACCCGTTTTACATGTGTCATACAGCACCACCAGGATGGTCACCACCGTGGTGGGAACCACAAAACAAAAGGAGGGTCAACCAACGCACCAGCAACTGCCGTTCGACCTTTCCCCGAAGGAGTGGCAGCCCCAAACGGGACAACAACGCGACTACAAAGGAAATGGCTACCGGGAGAGACAACAAACGGACGGTTACATGCATTGCAACAGTTCGATCGTCACAGACGGTGGTTCGAGGGTTTGAAGGAGCTGTACGAACAAGTAAAAGTGGAGCTTGCTGATGGGAGCACTCTGAACAGCTCAATGGTAGGCACTATCAGAGCAACGGCACCCGATGGGACAACGATGCGGTACACTGAAGTGCTCTACGTACCCGGCTTGAATAGAAATCTCCTCTCCTTCTGTCAGCTGTTGAAAAGGGGAGCCCGGATACGCACCACTGCTGATGGCGACACCGAGATCTCCATGCCTGATGGAGATGGGGGTGTACGAATTGGACTTGGCAAGAACGTGCATGGAGTGCTTATGGTGGAATATGAGCCAGCACTTGTTTCTGCCCATGAATTTGGACATACTCATGAGGATGCACCGTCAACTGCGCATGGTCATGGAGGATTGAACAGTCAATCTGCTCCTGCATCCGTCACCTACCGTATCGCACACATGGCTTGTGTCGTGAGGGACATGACACTTGACGTTGACAAGGACACGCACTCAACGCGCACCTTTGATGACACGTTGCTGGACGCTGGGTCCTTACAGAAATGTCAGCAGCATGATGATGAAGTCTCACTCCACGATGCGGCGTGGACTTCAAGGGGAGAAGGCCAACGGTCTGCGGTGGGTAAAGGGGACTCCACAAAACAAGACTTACATGGAGCTGAATGAAGACAATGCAACCAAAGGAAACGGGGTGCTGCAGCAAATGGCTTACCTGCAGCAGGCGTAACTGTATCAGAGAAAATTGAAGATGATAGTGCTGGAAGCAAGGTGGGATATGCAACAAAGGGCGTGCGCATGGCTGACTTGACATACAAGGAGCTGAAAGACATGACCAAGGACCAGCCCGCACCCATCAACGGACACGACTTCACCTGCAGCTGCATTTGCAACGTCGAACTGATTCCATCTGATGCAACATCTGCAAATGGTCAACGTAGTGCTGGTGCAGCACTCACACAGGCCGGCCTCTCGAGGTGTGCTGCACAACCGGACATCACGTAGCTCCACACACCTCACTCATGTGTTTGCACATGTGAACATGTTTGCACACGTGCATGATAACAAACACATTAGTGAGAGGGGGAGTGGGGTGTGGAGCATTTTATACGCTGGAGTGGGAGGCAGAAGTTCATTCTTCAGTTTTCGTTATCATTTACATGGCAGTCATGTGCCAAGGGAACGACCTACGGTCAACATTGCACAATACAAGGGGTCACTGATGCTGCTGTCGAGTGCTAGCAGCTGCTGCTGCAATCGGTCAGCACTTGCTGCAGTGCTCCAGCTGATGCTGTCCGCGGGCAGCCGCTGCTTCGAGTGTACCTGCTGGTTTCAGGGGGAGTAACAAGACAAAATGAGTGAAGTTATCAAAAGGATTGGCTTCATACAGCGGAGAAAGGAGAAGGGCAGACAGAAAGCTACATCTGGTACGAGGTGCTGAAGCTGCAAGAGATACAACCTACGGTCTGCAGCTTACCATGGGGCAGCTGCTGCTGGTCGTGCAGGACAACAGCTGCTGTTGCTGCAGGCCACCAGGCGCTGGAGCAGCCCGACAGGTGCAGCCCACCAGGCGCAGCCAGCCAGGTGCAGCCAGACAGGTGTTGCTGCAGACTGCCAGCCGCTGCTGCAGTCCGCCAGGCAGTGCTGTCCGCTAGCTGGTACTGCTGGTGAAAGGGGGGAGCATACCAATACAACACATGTTAAGCAATTTTGGAGGTTCATCCAGGAGGAGAGTGAAAGGAAAGCAAAATGAGAAGGGAGAAGGCATGCTACTACTGCAAGGCTAGGAGATCCCGAGATTCCTCACCGTCAGGTGCTGCTGCAGGCTGCCAAGTGCTGCTGGCGGTGCTCGGGGGACGGCCAGGTGCTGCTACTGCCGCCATCTGCTACAGCAGGCCAGATGTTGCTGCAAGCGGCCAAGTGATGCTGCAGGCGGGCAGAAAATGCTGCGGCCGCCATGGTCAGGTGCGGTTCGCCAGTCGCCAGCTGCTGCTTCCATGTGCCACCTGGTGTATGGGGGAGATTGAGAAGGCATGACGAGGTCTTACGAGGAACAAGAGGCAGCAGAGGCATGCAAGGGGAAAACAAAGGTTTGTCACATAAGCGCTGCTACAGCTACTGCTGCAGATGGTGATGAAGAAACGCATGAGAGAGGAAGTGCTTCATCCGGAGGAATTGATGATGCAGTGTACCATTGTGCCGGCTGACAGCTCCTGCTGCAGCCATGCGCCGTCCGCTGCAGCCATCAGTTGCTGCCGCCAAGAGCTGTTGCTGCCGCCAGGTACTGCTGCAGGCCGTCAGGTGGTGCTGCAGCCGTGCGCCGCCAGCTGCTCGGGGGAGGGCCAGGTGCTGCCGCCGCTGCTCACCGACTGCTGTCACCGGGCATGTGCTAGTGCAGGGCGCCAAAAGGAGCTGCCGCCGTGCGCCACAAGGAGCTGCCGCCGTGCTGCCGGGCGATGGTGCTGCTGCCGCCTGCCAGGAGCTGCTGGTGCTGCTGCCGCCCGCCAGGCGCCGCATCACCAGCCGCAGCTGCGGCCCGTCACCAGCTCCTGCAGGGACGAGTGACACAAAGCGAAGGTTAGTCAAGTGATGTGAGCTCAATCAAGACGATTGGAAGGGACGACATCTACTCCTGCGTACTAGGAGAATGAAGGGTTTAACTCACAAGGAAGTGTGCTGCCGCAGCCCGCCGGGTGGTGATGATGCTGCCGACCGCCGGGTGATGCTGCTGATGAGCGTCGGGAGCTGCTGCATCCGCCATCAGCTGCTGCTGCCGCGCACATCTGATACAGATCCACGGGCGAAGATAGCAGCAGTCGCGTACCAAGATGCCATGCTGATGATCGGCGTCAACGACAGCAGTCGCACGCCAAGTGAAGTCGCCACTGCAGCCGCGTGACAGGAGAAGCAGTCGCGCGACACACTGCTGGTCGTCACAGGCGCCGATGAGAAGCAGCAGTGCGTCATAAGAAGCAGCCACGCGACAGGCACAGCAGTCGCGCGACAAAAACAGCAGCCGCGTCATGGCCACGGGAGCCATGCGCTGGCCACGGATTGGCCGTTGACGACGCCCTAGACGTCGCGCCGTGCGCTGCAGGTACGGATGCAGCCGCGCGTCATGCATCAGCGGGGCGTGCGCCAACTGCTGCTGCTGTAGGTCGCATGATTGCTGCTGCGGAAAGAAACATTTCGGCTGCTAATTAACGACGTGGCAGCAGCTGCTAATTTATCATCCACTTCTGCAAGCTAAGCTAGGATTTCGCCATGAGCTACTGGCATTCGTCATCCGCAACAGCCATGGCTAAGGTAATTCGACCTGCCGAACCTGATCTGCAAGAGAAACGAGAAGCAGGAGCAGCACCGCTGGTCGTGAGAGGAGAAGCGAGCAGCTGGTTGGGAAAGCATGGGGTGGCGAGAAACCTCTGCTGAACAGGGTCGCGAGAGTTTTGAGGAGAAGGGCGAAACAGGGCGTAGCAGAGGAATGCCTGACGGAGGAACGTGCTGAACTTCTGCTACACGACAATTTTGCCAACACACCTGACGCGATCGCAACGGAAACCCCAGTGTCAGTCTTTTCCACCAACGCCGTAACCTCAATTTCTCGCCGCCATCAACTGGTCGACCAAGGGTAGTATGGTTACATATTCAACCACCTTATCCCTCCATCCTCCACACAACCGACCTTCAGTAAAATCTACAGCAAGGGGGAGTGTTGGATATAGAAATATAAGAAAATATACGTGCTGTTAGATTTCACTGTAGTCTTCTTTATAAAGCTCCAGGTTCTACAATAATTGTACAGTTATTGTAGGAGCTGCATTATTGGAGTCTAGAGGTCTGGGGGTAGAGTTATTGGTACTCCTTTATTGGAGTGGCCATTATTGGTGATACAATTATTGGTGATAAATGCCCTGCTGTGTGGTTTCATCATCAATCCATTGTTCTAAATCCTTTCAGTTGCAAGGTTTCTCTTGCTATTCATTCTACAATCAAGCTTCCGATACGTCGGCATTAAGCCTTTCTAGCACCAGGGAGGGAATTTCAAGGGAGATGGTTTCCGAGTTGGATAGGGGGAGAAGATAGGGTAAGGGGGTTTGGGGTTGGGGTTGGGGGTAGGGAGGAACATGAGGAAGGGAGGGGAAAAAGCCTCTCCCAAGAGCCCAAAAAACTTGGAATTCGTTTGTAGTCTTGACCTGATTCATTACGGGCTACAACTGCAGCATCAGCGGATCGAATTATACAGAGACGCACTCACTGCCGTAACCATCTTCCCATATGCATGTTTGTCAATGATCACTTTCCTAGTGAGCTTGGTGGGCTGCAACTTGGCCATGCATTTATCTGGCAATGGGGATCGAGGGGATAGGAGCGCATGGGGAAGGAGAAGGTAGAAGAACAAGGCTTGGTTCACTTACATGAAGGGTATGCCGAAGCAGTCCCCAAGGGACATAAACTCGGTCGGTGAGCCCAGGGGTAGGTTCTATACCAGTGCAGCGAGGTTACATTTGGTGTGGTAACCCACCGTTTGCCTTCTCTACAGCGCTAGCAACCAACGCTGGCAGCATCTTCGCCGCCTGGTAGGTTGTTGGGTCGGCTGTCACTTCTTCCTCGCACCTGCTCTTCATCTTGTCTCCGTTTTGTCCCTTCCCTTGTCTGAAATAAATTCTTCTTCACCCCGCAAATCCTCCCTGAGTGGCGTGCCATTGGATGCTAGATCTGAGGTAACAACTGTCCACTATTCGAGAGAATATGAAGAGAAAAGCAGCAGGAGGGTGTGTCTGGCTGAACTTACCTTGCTCGGGCCTGAGTCGCACATTTCCCAATATGCGGCTCCGCTTGAGCCTGGTTGCTTCAGATTGGTTCGTTGGATTTCACCCCCTTGGTGTTTTTCCTCGGCCTGCGACCAACTTCGCGTCAACCCCAAAGTCCCCAACAACCTGCCCTCGAAACTTGATACAACACTTGCTACACTAAACACTACACCAGTGGCTAAACTGTTATCGTATATGCACAAAGCGCAGATTTGAAGTGTTTGCGTGCAGTTGTATCAGCTAGCAGTTTGAGGCATTGAAGCACCTCATCGAATTGGCAATTATAAGCTTCGACGGCTAGTGGGTAAAACCCTACATAGGGCGCTGTGAAGTCGTGGTAGAGGGACACGTTCTTAGCCGCCTCACGTGCAGCCTAGCCTCTCCCTTATATCGCCTGAAGGTCTCTCGTGCTGATCGCGTCAGTGACGGTGTCGTCACGGATCCATACCGCCTCGAGGATCGGTCTTGCATTGTCAAATCCGCGTTCTTGCTGTCAACCGGGCAGAAAACCGTGGTTTTCTTGTGCACAGTGAAGCCGGCCTCTTGCGCCATTCTGATACACTCGTCGTTGAGCTCGTTGTGAGTGTTTGTCGTCCCTTTCCTAGTGACGCAGCGAAGTGGGTGGTTTGGGAGCCGCTTCTTGGTGATTTTTGCCTTATCGCGTGAATTGCATATGCATGGGGCTGAAAAGTGGAGGCCAAGTCTGAGTTGAAGGGCGGTGGCGAAGTGTGCAACCTGGAGTCGCAAGGAAGGTGAGAAAGGCACCACATTTAGCCAATTCCCGGCTACGTTTCTTGACAAGGATACGACGCATTGGCTGTGGCCATTCTTTGGGTTGGGCCTCATTGCTCTCGCGGCCTCTATTTGCATGGAATTGCATCGCCCTTGTAGGTAGCGAGCCCGTGCTGCAGCCTCCCACCTATCGGCTTGGCTCTCTCAGTCTCCAAGGTTTCTGTGGCGTGTTGTGGCAGTGATTTCTCGCACGATGCTAGCCACGCATAGAGAGGCGGCGTGTTGTGGTATGGGCCTGCCAGCTGCACCCGTGTCTCGTGTAGCTCTTCGAGTGAGGCAAACAACTGTTGGGCCTGAGTGAAGCTAGCAAGGAAGCTGTAGTTCCTTTCCTTGGAGGGATCCGCCAGATCAAGCCCCACAAGTGAGATCGGGAGTTAGGCATGCCTCCATGTACGTGTGGTTTCAGCGTCGCCACGAGGGTGGCGGATGTTGCAGGCAGTGAGCAGAGCCTCGAAGAGGCGCTGGCCCGACAGCAGCAGCAAGGCAAGCTGGGGCTCCATGCAGGAGTGGAGTTGGAGGGGTGCAAACATGGAGTCAAGGCTGCTGCGGAGGAATGAAGCAGTGGCATCCGCTCCACCAATGTAGCTGCCCAGCACCTTCAAACCGTACGCGCAGTAAGGTACGCCAAAGGGGAGGGTGGGTGCCGTGGTAGCCTCGCCAGACCACGCTGCGCACTTAGCAGGGCTGTGTGTGAGACCGATGGCGGTGAGGCCACTTGTGAAGTGCTCGAAGGCTGCTACACACGACGCGCTGCCCCCCATGAAGGTGACATCGTCCACGTATGCTAGGGCATCTCCTGTGGCGTTCAGGGCTTGGTGCATCGCGACGTCGAACAGCAGTGGTCCCAGGGGGCTCTTCCTGCCGCACCCCCATCTCACTTGTTACAATCGCACTATCGAATCCCAAGTCCTGGTAAAGTAGTGATGACTGTCCATATGAGAGCTGTAATAGTGGCAGCAACGGGAACTTGAATAAAGTTCTTCTCGAGCAAGTAATCCAGCTGCTTCCGCAATTTGTCCAGTTCGGGCTGGGTCAGTCTGAACTGTCGTTGTACTGTCTGCTGTGCCCACGTTTCTAATTCTATGTCGTGGTCGTGCGGTCGTTGAGGTGGCGGTCCTTCCGGTAGGTCATCCAGAAATATCCCGCTGTATTGCTTCAGTTGTGCTGCCAAGTCATCACGTCAGAGAGCAGTTTCTGTAAATCGCTCGGTTTGTCTGCTGCCTCGGCTTCCTGGACATCAACCGCGTGCACGTCAGCTCCTGCCACTACTGCGTGTTTCATCGTGATGGCGTTGAACCGAACCGACGAAGAATCAGGCAAGCTCCAGCAAGGTAGGGCGATGTTATTACCATTGACCTGCACAGTGCAGTCGCCCGTTGTCCAGTATATTCGGGGGTTGTGCCGTCGCAGCCAATCAGTCCTTTGAGGGTCGTGGAGAATATTTCATGGGTGAATGTGAAGTTACCCCCGCAGCGAATCTGAACTCGGTCCACGCTTTCCCGTATCGCTAGTGGCGTGTCGTCGACCAGTCTTGCGTCGATCTCAGGTAAGCATCAGTCCCGTGTCAGTCCCAGTCTCCGTGGAGTGGCGGCGTTGCTTAGGTTGTGACTAGCCCCTCCGTCCATGGAGATTTTAAATTAAGTCGGTGTGGATTTTCCCGCTATCGTCGAACCCTCCTCGTTCAGCCAGAGCTTCTGCCGCGAGCAAATTGACGTCGTGATTGGCCCCGATCACCTTCTTGTCAGAATGAGAGAAGTGGTTGAACTAACAACATTGGGAGTCCAAGTAGGAAAACCTAGAATGTTGTACCCCCTAAGGCTAAACCCACTATAGCCTACAGAATAGTAACATATATAATGTTCGACACACCCCCATAGGCTAAGTGGGAGACAACCAGATGGTCACAAGACCAGTCAAAACAAAGCAAAGCAAAGCACAGCTCAGGGTGGATCTCAAGGATACCACACAAATTCCGAGCACAAGCAAGCGGTCACAAGACCAGTTCACATGTTGATAATACAACAAGAAATACAGTAATCACAACCTAGCAGGTGTAAACATGCAGGTAGACATATATAAAGATCACAGTACAAGCAGAGTCAGGAAGTAAGCAAGTGAGGCACAGTAGGTACAAGGCCTAGAACAGTACAGAAACGCTGATGGTCACAAGGCTGAAGCGCCTTGGTGAAGACATCAGCAGTGTTGGCCCGAGTGGCCACGTAAGCGAGACGAAGCTGACCACGCTGCTGCAAATCTCGAGCAAGGAAGTAGCGCAGAGCGATGTGCTTCGTTCTGTGCTCCAGTCTGTGCTCCTGACACAAGGCAATCATGGCATTGTTGTCGACGTACAGCACTGGAGGAGAACGAGGCGGCTCTCCAAGGTCGGTCAGCAGGTAGGTGAGCTAGCGTAACTCCTGTGCAGCCATGGCCCCTGCGT